TTTTCCTGAACCCTGCCTACAAAGCATTGTATTACTATTACCCCAAAACATTACTTTCAAAATCCAGTGATAGAGAGAGGTAACCAGAGGTGGAATATTTCCCCTATGACAGAACAGGAAATGATGATGTGCCCTGCCCAATCCTGATTTATTGATGATCACTGATGCAGAGTGCACCCTAGCAAAACATCAACAGCTCCTTTTGGAAGCTCTGCACACAAACTTTGACATTTGTTAGTCTCTTTTTAAGGATTGGTAGATACTTTCCTGCACAAATCTCAAATCTGGGCTTTTCATTCAATATTGTACAATCCAATCATATGCTTTTTCACTCATTAGCAAGCCCAATGGACACTGGAATATACCCCACTGAATTACATGTGTCTAGGACTGATGCCTTAAATTCAGTTCTGGGTCACTGGGGATGTTGGGATCTTTACAGAGAATACGTCTGTTAACCACAACTCCACAAGTGAAGCTCTTGAAGAAAGAAAGATCTAATGCAAGTATTGAAACATAAACATGCTTGCTTTTAGTTCTTGTTTTGTTTTTTACAATAGATCATTAACCTGCCATTACAAAGCTCATGAAAGACGACTAGAGTGTGTTTAACCTCTACATACACTAGATCAGCACGTTCAACAGGATTTTTAGATCAGTGGCAGGTCTCTTAACTGCTACAGGTTTTATCAATGAGTTCAAAAAATAAAAAATAAATAAAGAGCTTCTACAGCATCAAGCAGTGCAGTACTTGAAACCTCTTTCAAAGTGACAGTTTTCAAGTGCCATGTACAATGCCCTAATCTGGAAGTGTCCCAGCTAACCCATCTGATCAACAATTTCACAGATGGAAGCACTTGATGGCTAATTGGCAAGCCCATTATTCAAACAAAATAGCTATTTGCAATTCTTGCTTCTTTATTTCCAGTTGAAGTGCTAACACGTCTAAGAGACAGGTCACCCTCCCCCCCCAAGGCCCTCGGAAAAAGGAACGGTCTACCTTTACGCCTATTCCCACAAGGCGCAATTTAAAAGAACCTTGCCAAAGTCGCAATAAGCGGATTGAGCGAGATGCCGTGTTCCGTATTCAAGGACAGACTCTCGGCTGGCGTTTCAGTTACTCTTTTGAGGGCTGTATACAGTGTTACTCTGGGTTATTTACCCACCCACCCGCATCATCATGTCACCAGCTGTCAATGCTGCTATTGTGCATTAGAAATGACATTTTGGAATTCAGAAAAGGAAACAAAGCATGAGCAAATGTTACATTTGTATTAAACATCTAGAAATTCAATGTCTTTAGTCAACAAAGTAACTGCATTGCTGGATCCTGCAGTCCAATTGGAAAGTCTCTGGATACTGGCCTTGCAGGTGAAGGGCCCCACCTCATGCAGCCATGCTACAGCAGGGCGTTTCATTACAGGAAACACTGGACTTATTTCAGAGGCTCAGGTTCAGTTCCCTGCATCAACAGACATCACCAGTGGATGTGAAAACGTCCCACCTGAGCCCAAACTGAACCATCTGAAAAATGGTTATTACAAGAAAAAGAAATATTGAGTGTGCATGTATGGGGGGATAAATTTTATCATCTTCTGGAACAGAATTGATGGAATTGTTCCATGATAGTTCAGTGTTACAATTGGCCAAGTTTAAGGAAACATTTCACATTCCAAATTGTTTACTCAGACTTTGGGGCCAAATGACTCCAACACACATCTTTAAAGGGTATTTTTAATATTCTAACAACAATGTCATTCTAATAACTATGCAGAAAAATTCAGCATATTTGTGACCACTACATACATTTCAAAACTGATAGCTTGTACCATACAAAAAGGACACAAGGCTCTCAAAGTGACAACTCAGACGTAATGTAATATTTTGTTATTTCATGAGATGTCCAAGTGTTTTAAGACCAATATTTTCACTGTGTTGTCAAGGGGAGTAGGAAACAAGACATGCTATGTCATGCTACACAGTCCTATAGATTTAGTTCCAGGCCAGCTGCCTTTTAATGTAGAAGGACTGATTTCTCAGGATGCTGTGTGCACATAACTTTGAAGGGTTGTCCTGCATTCATCTAGAGCCCAATTCAGATATTGTTTGGCTCCCAAATGATCACCAGGGAGAGAATGTGTAGCTACTATCAGGCCCATGGCCTAGCAAGGATCACATAAAGATGCCAGCTTTATGATCTTCATATGAGAGGTAAACACGGGGCAGGTAAAATTTTCTGATGCAAATGACAGAAGCCATGCATTATATTCAATGTGGAGGTAGATGCCTGCATGCTGGGCTACCAAAGGCTCTAGTCAGAGGCAGCTGTCAAAGTGTGTCTGTAATGGGCTTTAGTTTAGTCAAAACAGGTACAAGGGCTATGGAAGATTTTACAAGTCACTACAACAACTTCAGCTGCAAGTAAATGACAGTTTTCACTTAAAAAAACCCCAAACAGCTTGTAATCTGCAAGAAAGGCCGATGATGTTCCCGATACCAATTGGTAATAATGACATCTCTCGACTTGTCAGATATCATTGCTACTATATTGATCACTAATTTCAGACACCACAGATATCCTCACAAACTTCTTCTAAGCAGCATTCTACACCAGGCCCAACCGATCAAGAACCTTATATATATACTATTCCAGAATTCTATTTGTTATCTAAACAATATCATTTTATAACTCTGTTCCTCCCCCCATCCCATGAAGTTCTAGTGATATTCAAACATAGGACTCTTAGTTCTTAACCCTTACATAAAAACTGTCATGCACAGATTCTTTAGAGGCAGTCATGCTAACTTCTCTCTGTGTACCAATGAAGGCCTATTGCTAGGAGCAGCCGTTATGCTTTCGTAGATCAGCATGGAACTACATTACCAATTCAGAAACAACTACAGATAATATACAATAACAAGAAAGAAGACCTGCGAAACTCGCGGGGGGGGGGAGCTCCAAACTGAGCTGCCGGAGGAGGAACCAGCAGGAGCAGGTAAGCTTCCCCCCCATCCTGCCGGTTCCTCCCTGTCCTCCACCCCCCGCGCTGGATCTCCCC